GCCCTGGAGGAGTCGGTCGTTTTGTTCTTGCTGTCCGATCTCGGCACCGCCGAGGTCCTCGACCTGGCCGCCACGGGCGGTGACCTCCACGTGTTTCCGCGGCGGCTTTGCGCACGGGGTCCACGGGCACCTGGTCCCGCACTCCAACGGCGCCGAGCCTTTTGGACAAGTCGTTCGCTTCTTACTGTCCGACTTCTGCACCGCCGAGGTCCTCGGCCTGGCCGTCACGGGCGGCGGCCTCAAAGGGCTTTATGACGGCTCTACGGACGGGATCCACGGGTTACGTGGTCCAGTTTCACAGCAATGGCGGGCGCCTTGGAAGCGTCGTTCGTTTCTTGCTATCTGACTTCAACACCGTCGAGGTCTTCGACTCGCCGGCCTTGGACGGCGACCTCAAGGGGTTCTTCGGCGGCCTCACGGACGGGACCCACGGGTACCTGGTCCCGGGCCACAGCGGTCATGGTTCTTTCATGCAAATCGTTCGTTTCTTGCTGTCCGACTTCTTCACCGTCAAGGTCCTCGACCTCGCCGCGACGGGCGGCGACCTCAGAGGTTCCCGTCGCCGGCCTGACGGACGGGACCCACGGGCAGGTTGCCCCGAGCACCATCGACGGCGCGCCGTCGCGAAGAGTTCCTCGCTTCTTGCTCCCCAGCTTCAACACCGTCGAGGTCCTCGACCTCGCCGCCGCGGACGGCGACGTCAAAGGCTTGCTTCAAGGCTGCGGGGAAGTCGCTGCCCGCGGGCCTTTGGCCGCGGCCGCCTCCCTTGCTGGCCCCTGCCCGCCTCTCCGTCTCCGTCGGCGTGCGCTTGCTGCGGGCCGCGGAGCTCTGTGCGCTTCTTCCTCCTCCTCCACCTCCAGCAGGTCTTGCTCCTCCTCCTCCAGTTCCTCCTCCTCCTGATCCTCCCTCTCTCTGCCTGTCGCTGTTTGATTGTATCAGGTGATGCGTGTTCGATTGTATGGGTTTCTTCTTGTTTTGGTTGCGCGGATGAGAAAGGAGATGACGATGATGATGATGATGATGATGATGATGCTGATGCTGATGCTGATGCTGATGCTGATGCTGATGCTGACGCTGACGCTGATGATGATGATGATGATGGTGGCGGTGGTGGTGGTGTTGGTGGTGATGATGATGCTGATGCAGATGAGAAGGAAAAGGAGGACGAGGAGGAGGAGGGGGAAGAGTGGACGAGGACAAGATTGAACTTGTGGTGATGATGACTGTGATGATGGTGATGATGTTGGTGTTGATGTTGATGGTGATGATGATGATGATGATGATGATGATGATGATAATGATGATGAGGCGGAGGAGGAGGAGAAGGAGGAGGAGGAGAATGAGGCAGACAAGGCGAACGGATGATGATCAGGACGAGGGTGCTAACGGATGATGGTGCTGACGATGATGAGGAGGAGGATGGGGCGGAGGGATGGTGACGATGACGATGCTGATGATGATGGTGAGGAGGATGAGGAGGAGGAAGAGGATGGCTGAAGATGATTGTGGTGGTGATGATGAGGAGGAAAGCGGCCGGCTGGACCAGCAGTAAAGTTAGCCCTCCTCCATCCCCTTCTCATCCTCCTCCTCCTCCTGCCCCCGTTCGTCCTCATCGTCAACCTCCTACTTCTCATCACCGTCATCCCTCCTTCTGTTAACTGTGCTATTGCCGCGATCGCCTCGTAGTGAGTCTGGATGCTGGAATCAGAGCATGCACCGCAGTGTACGTGCGCGTTGGACAGACACCACGCTTAGGCTAGTCTCTGCCTGGTCAATATGACCGTAAGTTTCTAGTCGCGCAGTGCACCTTCGATGATCTTGTCGGACCCAGCCGCATTGAGTGTCACCGGCAAGACAAAGAAAACGTCATCCCTCATCCTCTTCCTCCTCATCCCCGCCCCTCCTCCTTATCATCACCACCATCATCATCACCTCGTCCTCGTCCTCAGCCTCCTCCTCCTCCGCCTGCTCCTCCTCCTCCTCCTCCCCATCAGCATCAGCATCATCATCGTTACCATCATCCCTCCTCTCCATCCTCCTCGTCACCATCGTCAGCACCATCAAACAGATGGCGAATGGATGTTGACAGGAAACACACGGCGCGGCCCTGAGGAGGAGGAGGAGGAGGAGCAGGAGGAAGACCAGGACAGTAATGATGATGGTGGTGATGATGATGAGGGATAATGAGGACGACGACGATCAGGAGGGGGAGGAGGGGTGAGGATGTTGATGGCGATGCTGATAATGAGGATGGAAGAAGGGAGAGAGAAAGGGAGAAAGAAAGCAAGAAACACGCAAGTCACCTACACAAATATACCACCCCCGACCTCCCCCCCCTCCTTCTCCTCCTTCTCCTCCTTCTCCTCCTCTCCTCCTCCTCCTCCTCCTCCTCCTCCTCCTCCTCCTCCTCCTCCTCCTCCCCCCTCCCCCCCCCCCGCCGCCCCCTGGCGGAGAAGGGATGCGAGGGAGGGGGCCAGCCGATCTGGCAAGCACCGGGCGCCGAGGAATCTCCCTGGGAGGCACGGCCAGCTCGTTGAGGGAGCGGCCGCTGGGCCTTCCGGCCTCCGTATTTCGGGGGCGGAGAAGAGGTGGGTGATGACTAGGGGGGGTGGATATCATGGCGGGGGCCATGATATTTCCCCAGATTTCATGGCGCCTCTTCTTGTTTCATTACGTCCCTGGCCCCCCCGCTGGGCCGCGCACGTGCCGCCGGTCATGATTTGCACCCCCCCCCTTCGACACCCCCCTCTTGGCCGCTCCCGAGTATGGAAGGGCCTGGTTCAGTCTGGAGATGAGGAGCGTGCGCTACCACCTGCTATATTCAAAAGTCCGGATCGGCCCAAGGCCGTTTGCATCGTCGCTCTCCGATCGGACCTGGATCGTGGACACTCGATGAGTTTGGGCTCCCGATGTTGGACATGGCCTCCGAGATGACTCCGGAAGCGGGCAGCGCGCCGAGCACTTGCACGGCACAGCAGACCATGGAGCATTGACAGAGAATTCTGTTTAGAATCGCGGGCACAAAAGGAAGCAGATACGCTTTGCATAAGAACTTCCAAACCACGACTCGACATCCAGCCAACATCAATCGGACCGGATTTCTTGGGGGGAGGAAGTCTTTCGCGAAATCGCAAACTTCCGGTCGCCTCTGAAAAGTCTTGACGCTTCGCGTAACCCCATTCCTGGTCTCGGCCTGAGTTGCGGCGGTAGGCCTGCTCGTGCTAGGTAATTTAGGACCTCGCGCGGCCCGCTCGGACCTTACACGCCGTCGGCGCGCTCGCCTGCGGCTGGTTACAAAAAAGTATCCCCACCAGCGTTACTCGCCGCTGGTGCTCTCGCCTGCGGTTGCGACGCAAAAAATCCCCACCAGCCCATCCAGAAACGATCAGCAGGGGAGTCGGTGAATCAGGGGCGGCAGGACGCATGCAGATGCGCTGCCGTCTTCGGGAAAACAAGGATCACAAAGAGCTTCCTGCATTGAAGTTGAAGATGGAAACCGGTGCAAACTACGATGGTGCTTCGATGAGGGGTGAGGGGTGTTTCGATGACTCGTAATGGCTGTTGCACTGATTTGTATATTAAACTCGCGTGCGTTTCGAAACTTGGAGCCATCTTGGGGCTCTCTTGGGGTTCTTTGGGCCCTCTTGGGGCCCTCCTGGAGCTCTTTCTTGGGGCTCTCTTGAGGTCCTCTTAGAGCCTTTTTGGAGCCCTCTTTGGGCTCTTTTGGGGCGTCTTGGGGCCCTCTTGGGGCTCGTTTGGGGGGTCTGGGGGCCTTCTTGGGGCTCTTTTGGGATGCCTGAGGACCTCTTGGGGCGGTCTTGGACCCTCTCGCTAAAAAAAAGGGGGTTCAAATGCCCATCGCCCCCATTGGAGGCTCAAACATGCCGTCTTGGGGCCCTCTTGGGCCGCTCTTGAAGCCCTCTTGCGCGCTTTTGGGGCCGTCTTGGGGCCCTCTTGGGCCCCTCGTAGGATTATCTTGGGCAGTTTTGGGGCCATCTTGAGGCCGCAAGAGCCCATCGGATGCGAAAAAGCGAGAAGGCAAAACACATTGATGTTCTCTAGATTTTTGAAGGATTTGGGCCTCTTGGGAGAGTCCTCGGAGGGCTCGGAGGGCACTTGAGACCGTGTTGGGGCCGTCTTGAGGCCTCTTGGATGCGTGTCGGAGGCTATCTTGAGCCATCTACCGCTATCTTGGGCCATTTCGGAGGCCATCTCGCACTCTCTGAAGTCCACTTGGAGCCATGTTGGGCCGAAAAGGGCCCTCTGACACCTCGCGGGGGAGCCCGCCCAGACGCAGGGAGGGGGGGGGAGGTAAACCTCCCGAGCATGGAGAGGAAGGAGGTTGGAAAAGGAAACGCTCTTGACCACCTGCGCCCAGAGGGGTGGTGGGACTCGCATTCCGCCGAATACTTCCCCCTCAAAAATCTCCGGCCGCTTCCCACGACGGAGGGGAGGGGAGGTGGGGACGCGTGCTTCGCCTTAGACGAAGCATCTGGTTGGGCCTCCCAACCAGCTTTAAATTTGGTAGCGGGGCTGGCGGTTGGTGGTCAGCTCTAGTTCTACTATTGCGATTGAGGGCACTATCTGGTGGACTACCGTCATGGTGGACCATCGTGGTGAAGTGGCTCTGCGTGGAGGAGCGCTAGACCATCGCAAGGACACTCGCACTGCTGCCTCTGCTCACGCAGAGGTATCCTACCTGAGCCCCACATCTCCGCGGTACTGCACTCCTGAAGTCCACCCGCCAACGCCAATGGGCAATTTCTTCGAAGATGCGATGCATGGCAACATGCGTTATGACATCGTGCCGCCTGCACGTCCTCGCAAACTGACCTCCCGCTCCTCCCCATCTGGCCCTGCTCCCCCACAGATGGCGACATCCGAACACTACCTCCGCTTGCCATCGATACTCCTGAATTTACGGGAGGCGAGGGTAGTAGTCGGCTTTCACCACGAGGTACTCCCCCATTATGGTGTCTTCCCTCGCGGCACTCCTGGAGGCCACTCAGGAGCTGATCGACAAGATGCAGGCTCGCGAGTGGCCGGGCGAAGAGGAGGAAGAGGACGAGGAGGAGGAGGAGGAGGAGGACGAGGAGGAGGAGGAGGAGGAAGAGGACGAGGAGGACGAGGAGGAGGAGGAGCAGGAGCAGGAGCAGGAGCAGGAGCAGGAGCAGGTTGGCTGGACTTGCCCCGGGCCCCATGCCGTGAAGTTGGGCCGAGCGGGGCTTCGCGGCTTCCCCTGCGCTCGGTTGAAGAAGTATCAGGGGGGGGAAGGCCAGGAGGCAAGAATCAAGGGAGGAAAAGTTACAGTCGGCCTTGATTGGACAGGACACGCGAGAGGACACAAGACCCTTCCGAGGGCCACATCGCCATAGGAGTGTAAGGAGGCACGTGTCGCGAGGCACGGGACACAAGGGTACCCTTGAGCTGGCAGGGTCGGCCTACTAATCCGGGCCGGCCGACTGTACGGTCGGACCCAGGTGTAAGATCGAGGTCGGTTCGGGGAAGGCGCCCTACTGTTCTTCGTGGTTGCTGGGACGCTCTTGTGCATCCCAGGGGAGGGTACCCTCGAGTTCTTGTTCCAGTTTGGCCGGCCGAGGATCTCCTCGTCTTGATCGGGAGCCTCGAGACGGGGGTCGATGCAAACGGGGGTCAGCCAGAGCGCCGGATCTTGAAAGATCCTGCAGGGCCAGGGTCGCATTGACCCTGGCTTGGGTGCAGGATCCTGTAGGATGTTGCAGGATCCTTCGCATTGACCCGTTCGCTTGGGCGCAGGATCTTGCAGGATTCTGCACGGCCTGATTGACCCGGGTCTGGATTGACCTGGGTCAGAACCGAGCAGTTTCTTTGGGTGGAGGGCAAAGGGTGAAATCTGAGGTGCCGTCTCGATGGGCCTTCGAGGCTTGAGTCTGCACAAGGAGAACCACAAGACGAATGGACTTTCGAGGTGCAGAAGCCCATATGGATGTCACCCCGAGCCCTCCACCCTAAGAAAACGTTCAACAGAAGATCCCCGACTTGAAAAGGTGCTCTTCTGTCCAAGGTCCGGCCGTAGTCCGACCCCCCTACAATCGGGGCGCTGAAGAAGGAACCCTTTTCGTTTGGAAGGGGCTCAGTGTTCCTTAGTTGTTTTGCAGCTCGCCTTAGGTTTTCTTCAGGTCTTCGATCAGAATTCGAAGCTTAACATACGGGAAAAAAGGGGCCTCGATCCTTATTTAGGGTTCAGATTCAAGAGGAAAAAACACACAGACACAATCAACCGTCGATTCCCGAGAAAATTTGGGGAATCTTTTTATTTGTGTGTATTTATTTGTGTGTCCCAGGGCCCTTTCGTTAGCTGACGTTTGCTGCGCAGCCGCCGGCGTTTGCCCAAGCAGCCCTGCCCGCCTCGGCCCTTGCCTGGGGTGCGTTTTCCCCTGGGGGGCTTCCCCTGTCGGGGTTCTTCTCATGAGGGTGGATCTCCTTGCCTTTGTCTAAGTATCGATCCCCATCTCCATTCCCATCCCCATCCCCTTCGAGACCCCCACCAAGTTGCCCCCCCAGTTGGGGATATGCCCCTCGAAACCCCAAGGGAACGACCTAAGTATCGTTTAAACGATCCCCATCCCCATACCCTTCGAGACCCCAACCAAATTGCCCCCCCCCCCAGTTGGGGATATATGCCCCTCGAAACCCGACGGCAGCGACCTATATCTCCATCCAGAGGGGTACATCAGCCAGTGGGGCCCAGGCCACGCCGCTGGGGGTGGGGATCGGTTAAACGATACTCACTGCCCTCTCGAGGAGAGGCGAGGCGAGAGGGACCAACATCGAAAAACAAAACACGCCATAAGCATTAAACTGTTGGCGCTCTGCGTGGATTCCTTGGATCCGCGCTGGGCCCCCCCCCGGCGGCGCCTGCGGCGCCGCCCATGGCGCGCTCCGCGCGCCAGGGAGGGGCGTCCAGCGCAGATCCAAGAACTCTGCTCGGAGCGCCGAAAGTTAATCCGCAAGGGCTTTGCCCCCATGCCGCCGGCCCCTCTCTCTTAGAATAGGACTTGCCAGAGCTGTGTTGGGATGTACGGACGCTGGCGTGAAGCGATGTCGGGACTTCAAATGAGAGCCAATATTAGTTTACGAGGGTTTATGGCTTCGGTGGAGCGACTGTTAAGTAAATTACGATGGGTTATGGTTTCGGGGACGCGAATCTTGCTAATTTTCCGAAGGTTGGTGGCTTCGGGGCCCCAGATATTGCATAATTTACTAATGTTAATGGCCTCTGGGGCGCAAGCACCGAATAGTTTCCGATGTTTTACGGCCTCGGAGACGCGAAGATTGCGTAATTTGCGAAGGTTTGTGGCCTCGGGGACGCAAGTATTGTATCATGTACGAAGGTGTTGTGGCCCTGGGGACGCGAATGTTGTAGAACGTTCGAAGGTTTATGGTTTCGGGGGTGCGAATATATATATATATATATATATATATATATATATATATATATGTGTGTGTGTGTGTGTGTGTGTACTTTACATGGGTTTATGGTTTCGGGGGCGCGAGCATTGTATAATTTTCAGAAGATTCTGGCTTCGGGGTCGCGAGGATTATGTAATCCGCTTGGGCTTATGGATTCGGGGACGCGGGTATTGAGTCATTTAAGAACAGTTTATAGTCTCGGGGGCGCGAATCTGTCGTACTATAATAGAGATTATGGCCTCCGGGACGCGAATATCAAGTATTTGTACGTGTCCCACGCCCACCCAGGAATTCAGACAACGCGATCTGGGCGTGTGTTTTTTTGTCCTCGCAGCCTGGTGGCCCCCGCAAGGGGGCCGGCGGAAATTGACGACGTTTTTTTATATTATTATTATTATTTCTTATATATATTATATATATAAGACTTCCACCAACATTAGAAAGAGGGGGAGGAGGAGGGGAGCGGGAGGAGGAGGGGGAGGAAGGGGAGGAGGAGGAGGAGGAGGAGGAGGTCCGTAGCCATTTTGGCTCAAGTCCGTAGTGTTTGCTTGAGGACAGGAGTCTTTCTTGGCAAGGGGATTCGCGGCCCAACCAGCCTTCCACATTTCCGAGACTGCACTGATGTCAGACCTCACGGCCTCGCGCACCCACGGCGTGCGCCGCACTTCCATTTCCTAGTGCGCGATGGTGGTATGGCGGCAATCCTGGCGTTGTCCGATCAAGCGTTGCAGTTTCAAGTTCAAGTATGAGTGGCGCGGCAGCTGCTTTCGCTGTGGCACAGCGAAAGGTGGCCCCAGTCAGCGCGAGGTTCAGCCTCGCGGAGCCTTGGCACATGGCGTCCCGCCCACAGTCCGTGATCCCAAATCCAAGGGTCCTCCGCCGCACACAGACGTGCAGGTTCAACCATATGCCGCCATGGACCACAGCGCGTATGCGGCAGTTGCAGACACCATCTCTCAGTCGTCATGGGGCCGCATCCAACAACTGCGCAGTCTCCGATCAGGAGACCCGCAGTTGGTCTCGCGCGCGGCCCAGAAGGGGAGCGACCAGCTCACGGACAAACTCGGCAAGATGCAGAATCCATACGGTAAAGGATGGAGAACCTCAGCCGCGCTGCCCGCTGGGCTGCCGAGGTTGGGGCCGAGCTCGAGGGGCCCCAGCGGCGGCAGAGGGAGGCAGCCGCGCGCGGCGCGGCGGCCCTCGCCCAGATGGGCGGCGCTGCCGCCGCGGCCGCGCCAGGCACGCCGTCTGCAGGCGTTGACCAGCGCGCGCTGCTGCTTCAGCGAGCGCGGGACCTCGGCGACGCCGAGCTCGAGAGCAGGCTCGCCGCGATGGCCGCTGACCTGGCGCAGGCCCAGCAGGCGCTGCAGGCCAAGGCCGCGCAAGCCCACGGGCAGGGCCTCGCCGCGCCTGCGGGCCCCGCCGCGGGAGGAGCCGCGCCTGCGGGCGCCGCCCCCGCTGCTTCAGGTCCCCCCATCGGGATGCGACCTGGCGGCAGGGGGGCCCTGCCTTGGGCAGTGTGCGCCGCCTCCTGCAGCTATTGCTGTTGATCCTGATGCCGACGAGCGCGCCCGCGGCTGGGCGGCCACGCGCGAGGCCAAGCTGCTCGAGGCATGTTCCAGCGCTGCCGGCGACGACGGCGACATGGACCTCGGCGACGGCGCCGAGCGAGTTGTCAAGCAGCGGGCCATCATGCTGGCCGGGCAGGCGCTCAGGAAGCTCCGCGCTACCCCGCAGCATGTGCCAGACACGTCGGGGTAACCCGCGGCTCGGGCCCCATCGCCATCCTCGCGACGAATGTCACCGGTGCGCCAGGGCTTGAGGTGCCAAGGCAATCCAGCGAGTTGTACGATTGCGACTTGGCTCTGGTTCAGGAGCACAAAGTGCCTCAGCGGCATCGCGACGGGCAGGGGCAGGCTCTGCGCAGGATTGGTTGGAAGGCCGCTTTCAATCCAGCAGTCCGCGCAGTGGCCTCAGTTGCAGCACATAGTCTGGCTGGCCTATCAGGCGGCGCCGTGATTGCCGCACCAGCCAGGCATGGCCTCGGTGAAGTTGAGGGCGTTCAGAGTTGTGTCTGCCCAGCAAGGGCGCCGCTGCTTCATCTCAGCCATGGGCCCAAAGGAGGAACGCTGGCGGGCGCCATGTATTTGTACGATTCCGAGGACCTCAGCGAGCGCAGCTGGCAGATCCCGTGCTCCATGGGCCGCGCGATCAATCGCGCGGGCGCGCCTTTCCTCATCAGCGCTGGGTGGCAGGTCGCGCCTGGGAGCTCGCCGAGAGCGGCTGGGTGGCAGGCGTTGGCGGCGTCATCGTAGCGCCGAAGGTGGGCGCAGTCAGGCCGTCGGGGAGGCTCATTGACCATTTCGTGATGTCCCCCTTTCTCGCCGCAGGTGCCGCGATCGAAGCTTTGGATCGCGCGTCCATCAGCCCGCGCCGGGCAGTGCGCGTCAGGCTGCAGGTCCCACGGCGACCTCCAGAAGTGCGAGCTGCCGTTTAGCCCCAGATAATCCCCGCCTCGGCCCCCGCTGGCTGCGGCAGGCATTTCGCGGAGCCGAACTGGGAACATGTCAGAGTGATAT